AGCCTGAGCTGTGTGTGCTCACCCCCACCCTCCCGTTGCATGACATTACTTTAAAGGGACAGTTCATTAGATGTCTCTTACACCACATCTAAGGAGTGCTTGAGTTTTTGAATTTGTCAGCAGATGTTGTTGTTGTTTCAGCTGGTTGCAAAATTAAGAGTTTGGTTTGGATCGTGATGCCTGCTGGAGATGATGTGCTGATCTGTCACAATGTCGTCATTGGTCAGTGAGCAAAATTGTGGCATTGTAGTTACTTTAAGTTACGTTTGGAATGGTCAATAAACCATTTTTTGAAGAATAAATAATTCCTGCTCACTCTGTCTCAAAGATCTGCTGCGTGGTCAAAGACAGGTTGGAACTCAACCATCAGTACAGAGTAAAGCCTTCAATCAGAACAATAATGCTTCTGAGTTTCTAAAGTTTACTGGAATGAAACAGTTATAAAATTGTCAAATGCTTCATCATTGCGTCATCATTGTCGTCGCCTCTTTTGAGAAAAGTGAGTCTTGTTGTCTTCGTCTTATAATTTACTCTCACTTTTCCTTCCTCACTCCTCGAAGTGACTTCTTCCCTTACCACCACAGGTCTTCCTCCCCTGGTCTCACCCCTGAGCGCTCTGCTCCAGTGGGGTGATCTCTGGCATGCTCTTGCTCCTCCCCTTCCTCGCTCTGGCCCTTATGGCCTCTTCCTCGCCCTCTCCATCGTCCTCATCGTCGGACCAATCCATTTGCTGCTGCAGGTTCCCCCTGGAGCCCCTCAAGCCGCTCCCCTTGAACATCTGCCCGGTGCGAAACTTTGTGCGGAATGTAACGAAGGAGAGGCTCTTGCTGCGCTGCTGCTTCTCGTAAAACGCGTTCGGCGGCTGGACATCGTCGTTGCCGCTGACCTCGTCCACGCAGTCGCGTAGTACTGTGCGAAACAGCCGGGGAACCTCATGGACCTCAGGCTCCATCTGGGACACCAGCCTCCTAAACCTGCAATGAGGAGAGGACGTGATCTGATTAGGGATACCGCTTAGTAATCGATTATTGTGACGATTAATCAATTAATTTGATTTTAAAAATTGGGCATATTCTGCAGATTTTTTGTTTAATCTTTTAAGCTTATTTTGTACAATATTAAAAATACACAAACAGACAGTTCCTTTTTTAAATAAGAAAATAAACATTTTTGCCTCAAATTGCAATAACAACATTCTTTATACGCTTGATCAATTGTAGCAAATGCAAAATATTTTTTGTACTTTTTAGGCTAAATTACTGCTCTGACTGTGTTGTTCTATCATCAGATTACCCTTTCAGATTCACTATACCCCAATGGGCAATTCATTGATTATTAAATTAGTTGAATATTTTCAATAATTGATTTATCATGATTAATCATTTCAAACATGTAGGTTGATGCAGTCATCAGGGTGGAAGTGACATCTTTTATCTTGAGGTTTTTTGCAGTCTCAGTTTTTCTTTTAGGGTTGTCCATGATGTAGCATCCTGCTAAATGAGAGCTTTCTCCACAGCACGATATTGCCATCAGCATGTTTCACATGTTAGGCCAGGGTGTTAGTTTCTTCAAGCATTACGTTTTTCGTCCAAAGAAGAATTTTATCAGAGCACATTTGCTGGTTACACTACATGGTAACAGGACTTTGTCAGGAATGTCTTGCCATTCTTTCATAAAAGATAGATTTGTGTAAAGTATCAGTTGTTGAAATCTCAACAAAATTTTCCTATCTGAACTATATCTGCAGCTCCTTCAGAGTTAGAACTGGCCTCTTGGTTGCTCCAGTCCATGTCCTTATCACTCCTTTTGATTGCTTAGAAAGAAAAAGAAAAACTTCAGAAAAAGCAGACAAGTTAGGGATGAAGTTGTCAAAAAGTTTTAAGCAAACAGATCTGAAAATGGAAAAGACATACAAACTGCATTTAAAAACTGGCTCATGTTGCACTTTTTAAGTAGATCTGGCTGCTAAATTCAAACAAATAAAAAATAAAAGAATACATAGAAATCCGAAGGAGTAAGTTTCATCTCATTGTATTTCACCGGTAGTGAGGATCTGAGAGCATCAGCATGTTGTTGCTCAGAGTTTTAAAGGGATTACCAGACTGCAACTCTGCAACTCTCTTGTCCTTCAAAATCTCTTCATATTTTATATTATAATGTTTCTATTTCACAATGATTTTAGAGACCATCAATCGTGAAAAACACCATTCAGTGAGTCTGAATTGTTGGTGAAAAGCACTTAACTTGAAAATTAAATAGGGTAAAAGTACTAAGTGGTAAATAATAAAATGAACAATAAAGTGCAAATTGAGAAGTGGCATGTTCATTAAGTTTATCTTTGCTTTGTGGGGAGAAAAACTACAATTCCTCTTGTGGTTCCCCAGTCAACTTTACACCTTTTTAAATTTAATTCTCTGCTTGTTTTCCTGCCCGATAGACTCTTTCACCTGCTTCAGTGTTTCTCACCTAACAATGACAGGGCCGCACTGTGCAGGGGGGATCTTGGCACAGAGGTCCTGCAGCTCCAGCAGGTCGTTGGGGGTGAGCTGGTAGGGCTGAGGGGTCGGGGTGTGTGCCAGCCAGCTGTAGTCCGCCGTGGAGGAGGAGCTGCGGCGCCGGCGCCGGCCCTCGGTGGCCCTCTCCAAACGGATGCGCTCGGTCCGCTTTACCATGGCGCCCAGCTCCAGCATCAGAGTGTTGGTCACCAGCTCCTCTGTGCTGCGCTGACCCGGCACTTTGGGCTCAAGGGAGAAGACAGCCGACCAAGGAAACATCTGGAAAAGAGAAATCACATCTCACAATGTGACAAAATAAACAACCTTTACGTGGAAAAAGTGGATTAAAACCACAGCAAACATCTAAATAATAACACATGAGTATTCTCCTCCTTTTTATTCGTTCACATACCTTTATGACAGTGAATGTGCAAAGCGGTGGTGTGTTTCTCTCTGGCAGAAATCCCTCAGTTGTCTGTCTGGTCAAGACTCTGTTAGCAGCCAGAGGAAGAGCAGACCTCCATGGGCAGAGTGGATGAATGAGACTCCAGCCGGTGGCGCACAGCTGCCTGACTGCCTGGCTACCTGTGGAGGTCCCCGGCAGACAGCACAGGTAATACTTTGAGGAGTTGCGTGGAGCGACTGTGTGAGTTTGGGATTGAGAATGAATGTCGTCCCGTATTAATAAAGATAGAGTGACGAGATGAGCTTATTGGGACATGAGTGCACGCCTGCAGGGAGAGCCGGGTGCATCAGTGTGACTGATGGAAATCATTTTACATAACCGCACAGACAGGGGTGACATCAAGCTGATCTGTTTTCATTTAGCTGCATTTCCTTATTCTCTTTTCAACATCAATTAATTTCGTCTTTTTAATCGTCAAATGCAGCTTTATTTGCCTTTAAAGAGGAAACTGTTCACAATTTCTGTGAAGTTTAATCTTGGATAAACATTGAAGAAAATGTTCAGGTTTCAAACTTTTATTTCTTCCGCAAAACATTAAAAACTGAATATCTGATATTTTTCCTCAAATATTCTCAGTAATACCACAGTTATTACACATCATCACAGTGACATGACATAACAATCACCTGTAAATACTCAGCAGTGTGGCTCAGTATATGTTAGGAACATCAGGCCAGTTTCTGGGTTTCCACACCACTCAGCACTGAGCCACCAAATCCCAGATTACATTCAAATCCACAGCCTACCTGGAAGAATGACTGCTTGTTGTGACTGTTATAATCTAATTACTACTCTACTCTCAGTCCTGGTACAGCTGTATAGCAGGAAGAGATGATTTTGTAAATATTACTGTGAGCAGGTCTATTGAATTTAAGATAATATTTAAGTGTGAGTGATTTAAGCTTAACTGCTTAGGTCTGTTGTAAGAACATTTCAGTCAGAAAGAGGCAAGAACATAATTACACACCGCAAGGTATCATTACAGCAGCCTCAAAATCAGGAAATGTTTTTTTTTTTATCCATTCTCATCTCAGCACCAGACTTTATTTATGCAGTGCCTTCAAAAGTTGTTCTTCCATGTTTCTGTTTTTATGCTGTCATTTGTCACAACCCCAAACACCAATGTACTATTTATTATATCATAGACAAACACAAAGTACTGCAGAAGTAGAAAAAAAGGATGCTATGGTTCAGAATAGAATAGAATAGAATAACAATTATTTGCCTCACAAAGGGAAAGTTAAGATAAGATAAAATAAGATAAAATAATCCTTTATTAGTCCTATAACTAACACAACAGAAAATGAACATAATAGCAGAAGTGAAAAAACAACACAATAAAAATCAAAACAGTGTAGAAAAATACCATACAAATTAAACTAAAAATGTAAATACAAAAACATCAATATTTATAAAGAAATACAGATATTGATGGACAACATAGGGGATATACTGCAGGAGTACTAAACAGTAATTACTATGCTACATTGTTTTAATAAAAACAAAAATAATTCTTTATTAATCCCACAAGTGGGGAATTTCAGCTGTCACGGCATAAGTGGACATAATAAAATGAAAGTAACAGAAGTTAAAAACAACAGAATAAAAACAAAACAGAGTATAAAAACACCATACAAGCTAAACTAAAAATATAAATAAGAAAATATCAATACATATATGCAAAAAAATAAAATAAAAAAATACAGCAGCTGTTGGACAACACAGTGAAAATATAGAATGAGTACTAAACAGTGCTATGCAACTTTGTTTTAATAAAAATCACAAATTAACAGCGACATACGCAACTCAGCCGTAGAAGATATATATATTAGTAAGTATAGAGTTTAATATTTAAAAAAAAAAATACAAAAATGATCATTTAGTACAGTGGCGTGAAGAATGTCTTGAGGTTCTAACGAGACTTGAGTGAATGACATCTTTTCATCGCTAGAGGTCCCCAGAGAGTCGCCCCGCCACGCGGACCTTTCCCAAAACATCCCCCTGCTACGTCATCAGCCCATCAGCCCCCTCCTGCCTCGTGCCGCCCCGGGTTCTGTTGGGTTATCAGTGGGACAGATCCCGCGGTATTTTGTAGCTCATATAAAAGCTGTCAAGATTCGGGTTGAGTTTTGTCCTGTGTCAGGTTGCTGTTTGACTCCGTGGACGCCGGTGTTTGGCTCCGTGACCGCTGTCACGGCCGTGCTGTCCCCGGCTGATCGCGCTCTTTGTGACGCTCTGAAGTGAATGGTGAGTAGCTTTATTGTGGGTTAGCTTGTAGCATCACTGCTGGGTTCATGCCAGCCTCGGGTCACTGATGGACCGAGCTGACACCTGATGGAAAAGTCTCATGACCTGTTTTAGCAAAGCTTGCGAGTCGTTCACATAGTTGACGTAAAAATGACGATTTTCTTTCTGTTTGTTTTTGTTAATTGTCTGTATTTTTATTGAAACATCGTAGGAGGGGTTTCCGGATGTTTGCCTCCTATATCCACGTCTTGTTAAGGATGTGCTATAGCAACTTTTAACAATTGCCACGAAAGCAATATAAATTTCATTCATTTGTTACGTCATTGATCACGTGGTAAAGCCAACCTGTTGAGGAAACCTTCAGATTATTTATTTTTCTGTTTTCTCGTGAAATAAATTATATGGGACTCCAACTGTGCAAAAAACAAGCAAACATTTGACCATACATGTGAAGTAACATTTGTGTATGCCTGTCCAACACCCAACAGTGGTGAAACATATTTTACCTTTAGGATGGTTTTAAGCGTCTAATTTATTTATAAAGTCAGACAATATTGTCTTCAGTGCGGCTATAAGAAATGGTGTTCCTCAATGCTGCAGTATTTGACTAATACTATGGCTGTGATTTAACTTTTTTACAATTTATTACACGATTATTCAGCATCTATACAAGTTTTTGTGTCAGTTTAAGTATATAGTTGGTGCTGATTGTTTCTTTCTCATTTCGTATTGTGGTGGGTATGGTTATTTTACACCAAGCTTTTTCAGGCTTACATCTGGTACCAATTAGGCATCAAATTTTACCCTCCAAGTTTCATTTGCTCTTTGACAACCTATTAAATAAACACATTTTCCTTAATCAGCTCCTAGTTTCCAATAAAACATGTGCTTATATTACTTGAATAAACATTACCTCCCGGAAAAATACATTGCCATTAATTGGTGTTGGCTAATGTCATTTTTCGGCACATCAGTATCAGTCCAATGTGGTCATTTAGTCACAGTGTTAAGTAGTAGGACAACATTATTTAATAGCAGTTATTGGCCACGACATCAATATTTATGTCAGAAATTGATATTGGCAGACATTTTCATAGTTATTTTGGTTTGATCAGAGGTTCTGATGCGTTTTTTTGTTGTTCATAAAAGGGGCCCAAATGCAGATCAGAATTACAAACTCTGGAAAACAGCTGTAACACATAGTTATCAGAATATTTAGGCATTTTTATTATGTTTATTTTCAATTTGTAGTTACACTTTCGTATGTCATGCATGTAAACACATCACTTTTTAAATATTTAAGTATTTCTAATGGTTAGTCTCTCAGGCCTCATGTGTATTTCAGTTTAATAATGTATTTTGGAGACTATACACTTTGTGTTATTCCTTATTTTTGTTTATTTTAATTCCTTATCAGGCAAATGACTCTTATGAAATACGACTTATAAGTTTCCCTTATTGAACCAACATAAATCAAAGCTTTCTCCTGATGGTGGATGTTATTTATCATGGTCATATAACCACATTTCATGAGAAAGTGACTTTAAAATTGCTGCTTGTCAAAGCTAATGTACCACAATATGCTAAAACCTCCAACTTTCATCTGTTTTGCAGCTGTGTGGAATCATGCTCATAACTTTTAGCAGACATATCCACTGACAGAGATGCTACTGTGTTTAATAAAAATCTCTCACCTAATCCTGATCTCCGACCGTGATTGTGAAACACCAGGTGCAACAATGGACTTAAGTTCATGATTAAATCTGTTTCTGAGCTGCAGCAATTAGTTGATGAAAGAAAAGTAATTGGTAACAGCGAACAAAGCAGAATAATTAAAGCTTCAAACTCAGCTACTCTTTCTGTGCCTACACTGTATTCTTTACCACAACAATGATTTGCATACATTTGTTAATACGCAGTAGATTTATTTGTCATAAAATAAAATAAAAATACTTGAAAGGATTAAGAAACAAGTTTTAACACAGCGAAGATGATTACGCGTCGTTGAATCATCTGGAAGCATGATTGTAAATCCTGGTTATGTGCGCTCTTTGACAGCTTCTTGCTTGCCTTCTGTCTGTTTGCAGGGAAACGGGTAAACAATGACAGCAGCACTGAGCTATGACACAAACTGAGTGCAGCTCGAGTCCTGATGCTACGCCTCCAGGCTGCAGTACATGTCAAAACTGAGCTTAGCTTTATCTGTCATTTTCAGTCAGGCTTTTCTTCATTCCACTGCTCTCACTTTCAACTGTCCTTATTTAGAGCAACGCTCGCTGTTTACCTGCACGCACTGACTTCCAGTCAATGCCTTTGAAACTCGCTGAACTTGAAACCTCCTGCGCTTGAAGCGAGTGTTTTATGAGAAATTATCTCTGCTCATTCCAAAGTATGGGAAAGTTGGGATTTATTTTCATCTGGCAGGCAGTGCTGCTGGAACAGTTTGTGTTTGTGTAGGAAAATATTGAGTCACAGCTGCCCAGCTGTGACAACCAGTGTCCCTCTGAGGCAGCAAAGCCTTAGCAACAAACGCAAGAGTCGTAGAGAAAAGCAGATTCAGAGAGGATTAAGACATGTATTATGTTTGAACACAATGCAACAAGAGTTGTATGCGCCTTATTTATTTTTTACAGCCTGGACTTCCTCATAGCTCTAATATTATGATCTGTTTTCTCAGACAAAATAATTAGTCAGAAGGAGTCATTTTAATTTTATGAAACAGATTTGTTTAGTTTTTTACTCATTCAACAATAAGTGAGATCTTTGTAGAAAATGAATCTAATCACTGTAAATTTAAAACATATGAAGGGTGTCAAAGGTCTGCTTTATTTCAAAATAAAAGCATGCATTTCCCTAATATTTGAACATTGTCTATTATAATCAACTAGAATTAGTTATTTTACTACCTTTAATGAATGGATGTGCCCAAATCTTTATTTTAGTAAACGTCTTTGGATGTTTGTGGTCTGACTTTAAATAAGAGCAAAATAAGGAAGAAATATTGCTAATAAAATAATTTTGTATTGTATGGAACTTTTTTTTGAAAAGGACTACAAATGGCCCAAGTGCCACACGTTTGACCCCCGACTCTAGAAGTTTTGAGTCTAACAAATTCTAGTAGATGAAATAAAGTTTATTTGGGCATTTCATGTATGGGATGATGTTCTGTTGTTTTTATCAAAATGTTCTGGTGTTGATTTATTGATGGTGTCAGGCCCAGACGGACAGAGATGAGCTGGGCTGAGGAGGACTGGACGGTGGGCCTCTCTGGGAGGGTCCTGCAGAAGGTGAAGGAGCTGCAGGTGTTTAAGGAGCGACTGTCCAGAGAGAACAAGCAGAAGCAGCTGCAGCTGGACAACATTCATACCAGCCTTGAAAAACAAACAGCGAAGGTAAACACAGACGCGCTTTGTGAATAGCTCTCGGTTTCAGGCTACAAGAGAATCAGTAAGACTAGTGACTTATTAGTAAAGTCATAAATGCTACTGTCAGCATTAGCTGTGTGCTTTTAAACAGGAATATTTTAACCTTTCATTCTCGCGATGTTAATTTGTGTTTTACTAAAATACAATGTGCCGTATCCTCTTTACACTTCATAACCTTTAAACTCCATGAAATCCCTCCTGCTCTTCTTTTCCTCCTGCTTTCTTCCAAGTATGAGGCGGTCCGTGGGGAGCTGCAGTTTGTTCAGAGAGATCTGCAAAGCGTTCGGGAGGAGGCCGAGGCGGCCGTGACCGCCAGAGAGCGCCTCACCCAGGAACTTCACACCAAGCAGGCCCAGGTCTGCTCTCTGGAGGGGCAGCTCGACGCGGCTCGTAACCAGAACAACCACCTCAGCCAAGAAATCAAGAGGTCAGCAGGAGTCAGCTATGAAGACACAACTGCTATGCCACTGATGTTCAGCTTTTCTGCCACCATGTTGTTTTATGCAATCATTAAGCGCAATAGAGTTATGTACATATTATTAAGTATGTTTTAATTTCCAAATTAAAACATAAATTTAGTTTCTAAATCAAACATTTCATTTGCTAGGATGTCTCCAAACTGCATGCAGTTTCTTGCTAAATGTTTTCAAATTTTGTCTCACTGCAAATATAAATATCAATGTATTCCAATGGGATTTCAACATGGTAGCTAGACCTGTCACAATAACAATTTTATTAGGTGATAAATTGTCCCAGATAAATAATAATTGTTTTGAGACTGTTGTCAAGTAATATTTTGATAGTGGCAAGTTTGCCCTCTCAAAAATGAACAAATCTTCATTTCAATCGATCATTTAATGCTGGAACTGGAAGATATTTTAAATATCTGAAATAAAACATGACCACCAAAAACAATAAATGAAACATGAATTATAAAGACTCTGCAAACAAAATTGCCCTCTAAAAACTATTATTCATCAGAATGAAATTTTTTTAGCTCATTTTAATTTAATGAATTGCTTATTGTGACAGACTTAGTGGTAACTCAGTATATATTTGTCGAGAGGGCAGCGTTTCTTCCAATTTACAATCTGGGAAGATTCAATTGCATTGAATCTTTTCTCTCGGTTGATGCATTGTAGAAATGCCTTTTGCTACTTTACCGCTGCACATGCAGTGTTTGATCTCGTCGGATTGTATCATTTTTCCATTTATTTGCTGTGCTCCCTTGCTTGTTGCAAACTGTAACTGGACTGGATGGTTTGTTCCAACAGTGGCATTCCTCTTTTCATCCTTTTATGTTTTCCCATTGACAGATTTTTTCTTATTGGCCCTTATTAGTCATTTTTTCTTCCACTTCATTGTTTCACGAATTGCCTTTAAAACACTCTGTCATTTGTGGTCGTAATGTGACACAATGTAATGCTTTAAAGCCTTTTGCAAAGGCCTGGACGTATGTTTCAAATTACGCTGCTGAGTCAACACTGGTTTTGTTCTGACTCCATTAGTTTCCTGCATCAGGATCACATTTGTTATCAGAGGTTTTTCTGTTTTCCTGCCCTCTGTTTCACCATCGGTCGTCTCTCTGTGGCAGGTTGGAAGCTGAGCTGGAAAAGCTGCAGAACAGTAGCCGGCGCACAGACACCACTCTGTTTTCCACACCCTGCTGGACTACATCCTCTCCCTGGGAGCACAATGGTACAGTGTCTGAATTTATGACTCCTTTGTTTGTTCTCTTTAGCAGATCCTGTCTTATCCTTTCTTTAAATTAATTCCCCATGTATAATTTAGCTAATTAAACAGTAAAACCACAGAGATTATAAATAAAGTCCTTCGGCTCTGCAGCTTTCCCAGCCTATCGCTCCCTGGGGGCTGCTGTGTTTATCTTTCCGCTGTTTGGATATTCGCAGCTGTTGTTCATGTTCAGCTTTGTCGATACGTTTGAGGCTCTGACTTCAGTCGCCATGTTGTGTTTCTGCCCTGCAGGGAGCAGACAGGAAGACAGACCCGGGCAGCGGGACGAAGGACGGAGCGGGGGGCATCACATCAGAGTAAGTACCAGCTTATTCTTCCACTGAGCTGTCTTCAAATCCTAAACTCCTGTGTAGTTTGAGAGGATTTAGCTCCTTTCATGCCAGAGAAACAGAACTAACATCCGTCTTTGTTCTTCCACTCTATCCTCAACTTACAGACTTAGTTTTATTCCACCTAAATGGACCACATGGATTTGTCTGCAATTAATGTTTGACCTGCTTTTGCCGTTTAAACACATTAGTAAACATTTCACTCCCTCTGAGGAGCAGGTAACGAGACCTTCCTTTATTAGGAAGAAATTATTTTTTTCTATTTACCATTTTGGCCTTTTATATTGAAACAGAGAAGTTAATTTAGAGAAAAAGATTATATGTGAATGTTATTTTTTATTAAAAATTCTTAACAAAATGTTCCCCTTTTTATCAGTCAAGTTTGATTGTTTAGAAAAAAACATATTGACAAGACCAAATCTAACATAAATGTAAAGAAATTGATTTGATTTGTTTAAACAGGTTTTTAAAAACAAGAAAACAAGCAATCAGTACCACAGAGAAAACATGCGCATACACAACCAAGAACAAAATAATTCAACACTACTTTTCTGTTTCAAAAGGAGTAGGAAGAAGTGAACACTTATTTAATCAGCTGCTTGCATTAAAAATACAGAAAATGCAAAACATTTCTGAGTTTTATAATAAAAAAGGAAGTGGGTTTTAAGGATTTGGCATGTAAACACTGGAAAACTGCATTTTTAAGTCAAATTTTGCTGCAGCGATCAGTTTCTCTTTTTCTCTTGAAGACCTTTTTTTTAAGTCACATTTTAGTGCATATTAAACAAACATTACAGACTAACAAACTGAGGTACTGATCTTCAAAACAACCATTTAGATAAGCAAAGAGACCAAACAACAACATAAAAGAATGACAAACAAAAATACAAATACCAATTTAGCTATGGGGCATTCACCATTAAGAAATAAATCTGATTTTTGAGCTAAAGTTCATCAGATTCCCCTCACCAGCTGTTTCTTGGTGGATTTCTCTTGAAAAGTGTTTGAACAACAGATATAAACTAGATTGCTAAAAACGTTTACTCACCAGCCTGCTTTCCACAGGTTGGTGTTCATGGGTATCTATTTTCAGAAGTGCATTTGTAAGGTCACTGATGTTGGATGAAAAGTCCTGGCTCTCAGTCTTTTCTCTAATTCATCCTGTTTGTATTCTGCCAGGTTAGAGTCTGGACTCTGTGCAGGCCAGCCAAGTTCTTCCGCTCCAAACTTACTGCATTTATATTTTTATAAGCCTTGTTGGTCTGGAACAGGAGAAACATGTGTCTAAACTTTTTTTTGTAGAATGAGACAAATGTGGAATATCACATCTTGATTTTTATGTTTTTTCTGACATTATCTAATAACTGTGACCTTTGTGTGCAAAATAAATCAGCTTAGCGATGCACTTTAAAAGACGTATGTTCTTAGTTAAACTGGAAAAACTTTAATTCTGCGTCTTCAATCTTTCTTTGCAGCAGCGGCTCCAGTTTTCAGAAGCGTCCGCAGCTTCGCTGCCTCGACAGCAGCACAAGAGCACACCGCTCCGCCATCCATCTGACCAGTCGGATGTCTTTTCCACGCCCTCGGCGGTGTTTCCATGGGAACGAGACGACTCTGGACCTGCATCCAGAAGACGACCTGCGTCTTCTCCTCAGGCGCCGAGTCCTGAGGTCCTGAATCAAGGCCGACTGGACCGGAGTTCTGAAGAAAGGGTCCACAAGACGGAAACAGACAGTAAGTAAGATTGTTTGTTGACTTCATTCAAATGCATCCTGCTCAGATTGCAGTATTTATCCCAAAGATTAAAAGTAACCTGGATTACTGCAAAGATTATGCTCAGCATGATCATGCTTTTATCCACTTATCCATTTACATTTTCTAATCCTGAACTTCCAGACAGAGTGAATCAGATTTGGATTAGATGTTGAGTTTTATCTTAACACATCAGTTTATGTTCTGCTTAAATTAGCCAATATGCCTAATAGGTGCTCCGCATAACCCCACCAAAAGTTGTTACGTAAGAGTTTGTGTAGCAATCTCTGCCTCAGCCAGACATTCCTATCCCTGCTCTAAAAGCAGCTTCATTGAAGTCTTGCAACACTTCATGATGTAAGACGTTCCTTAGTTTCAGCTGCAAAGTGTTTGTGTTTGTTCAGAGGAAGAAGAGACAGATAAACGTGAAGCTATGAAGGGGCATCAGGAGCAGCGTTTTTACTCTGCTTCCCTCCACTTACACTAGTTATTGTAGAAAATTCATTACAGAGAATCAGAGTAGACTTTCATTAATCATTACAGCTTTCTATGACATGAGATAATGAATATCTTGTATTACACAAAATCAAAAAATAGATTGCAGCAAATTACAGAAATACATTTTTAGTTAACAAAGTAAAATGTTTTTTACCTTGTGGACTGACTTGGTTAATTCTTCTTTTGACAGTAACCCCAGCTGTGTGTTTGTTATTGAACCAGTCTGTATGGATTGACCCCGTTTATGAAGAGCCCACAGTGTTCTGCTGCTTTGTTTTTGAGCTACTGACTCCATAAATCCAGGATAAATCCAGGTCTTTCTGCTCAAAAAAATAGAAATTACAAATATATATATTTTTATTTTCTAGTTTTTCCAGTCATCTGTTATGTTTGGTTGTCCTTCATTCATCCTTTTAAGACAGTAATATTTCTGAGCAGATCCATATTTCCTCACACTTCGTCTTGCGGTTAATGGCATAAAACCTAAACAAGTTTTAATACAATGAGTTGATGTTGTAAAATCTGACCTAATATAGCTGAGACTTTCTCCAACCAGCTAAAGATTACATTAGCATGGAAAATGCAGCACTTGGATAACGTTAGCCAACAATTATTGCTCTCTGAACTGTCTTTTGCAATATGAATATTGGACATATTTTGACGCTGATATTCTCATATTCTTGTCTCTGTCTGGTCCGTCTACCCATTTATTCAAATTGCAGTCGCTCCTTGAGTTTTTAATTTTGGTATTTATAATGTGAAAACTGGTGAAAAACTGAAAACTTTCCTAAAGTGAGTCTAAAGATGAGCTTATTGGCATAGATCAAACTTTTGATGAATTAAATTGCTTAAATCTGCACTTCACTGGTTGCCACAGGTAAAATGCTATTTTTATCAGAACTATCAGACCTTAACGATGGGATCTGTGTTTGGTCGACCCACCAGTATCTTCGTCAGAGCTGCAGAGTCGTCTCTCGGCTCTGGAGGTCCAGCTGTCTGAGAAGGTCGGGAATCTGAAGACGGTCCAGAATGAAATGGGGCTGATGAAGAAGGAGCTCGCTGCTAAAGAGCTGGACCTGCAAAAAACCCAGGAGGAGCTCAGCAAGGCGCACACACGGGCGGCTCAGGACAAAGAAAGGGTAAAAGCACGAGCCTCACCGCTACTACAAAACCTGCTGGACCATAAATTGTCCCAGAAGTGTTTGCGATAAATGGAAATATTATCACTTTGAGACCGTTTTCAAAGTTATAATGGCATAATAATTCAAGTCAAAGTGCAATGAACTTTAATTTCTAATGAACATTTAGCATTGGAACTGGAAGAGATTTCAAATATCCAAGATAAGTAAACAAAACAACTTAAACAACAAATAAAATTTGTACTGAATGTTCTGTAAACAAAATTATCCTTCAAAAGGAGCGTAGCTGAGACCAGTCCACCCGACTGAAGCCTTTTGTCATCCAGTCTTTGGCAGAAAGAGAGAGAAAAACAAACGCTCATGAAATGGAAAAAAAATTTGAAGAAAAACATCTATACAATCTTTTTTTATTTTATTTCAGGCATCAGAAGCCGAGCACAAGCTGAAACAGCTTCAAGAGGAGCTCAAGTGCCAGAGGCAGAATGCAGAGAGCAGTCGGCTGCAGCACCAGCAGCGCACCAAGGAGCTGGAGAAAGTGCATCAGAAGGTCAGTCCGACGCCTGCAGGAGAGGCGGAAAGCAGTTGGATCTCTCTGCTCTCTGCTTCAGACTGTGGCGTTCGTGTTCTGGCTGCAGGACTTGGCGGAGCTGCAGAAGGAGAGGCAGTGTGAGGAGAAGCAGCACCAGCAGGAGGTGAATAAGCTGAACCAGGAGCTGCAGCAGGCCAGGTCGCTCCACAACGCCCTGCAGGCCCAGGCTGACAAGGTGAAGGCAAACATGCAGCACAGAATGAAACGCATCCACAACACGCGGCCGTCCTCTGAAATAACACAGCCACGTTTGATAAAATAAAGTCCGCATCAACAGTGGAAACGGCAGAGCAGCATGAGGCTCTGCTTCATCAAGCTGTCTTGTTTTATCAGCCATTTCCCCCCTTTACCTTCTTTAGCCGACCTTCTCTTCTTCCCCCTTTAACTTGTGCAATTGTTTGTATTTATTTGTTCTGAGGATCAATAAATGTAACTTTTTCTTCTCCCAAACTTTCTTCTTTTCTTTGTTTCCTGCCTTTCTCTCTTTCGCTGTCTGGCTTTTTGTACTTCTATCCCCCACATCCTGCTCCCACTCTGCTCCGTCCTCCTCTTCTCTCCTCTCGGTTTGTCCCGGTGGAAAACGTTAAGCAGCAAAGGTAACAACTGTGACTGTGACCCATGACCTTTAAAAGCTCGCCTAATAGAGACAGGACGCAATGTGAGGAGTATGTTCATAGGATTTGTTTGCAGCAAGATCAGTTTAGACAGATGATCTGCTAACACAAGATTTGTTAGTCAAGTTAAAAAGTAGAATAAATTCAGTCGTTTTTAAAGTAGGTGTCGACTGTTTGGGCTACAATTTTCACACAAAATCAGCAGCAGTTGAAGTGTGATGAATGGTGTTATAGTGAGTAGATCACACTTGCTGCATTTGACAGTTTGTTTGCACATGCTTGGAGTTTGACCCATAACAAAACCCATCAGAGTCTGCGTCATATTATAGTATCTGAATTCAAGATTAAAATTAGTCTTTGTGCACCGAGCCGGCTGGTTTGCTTTAGCCTGCAGAGCTTTGCAAACATTTGCATTAATAATACAAGAGTCAAATGTCCGTGATTCCTCTGATATCTGATTCATCTTAATGATTCATTTAAAGTAGAGTCGAGTTGTTGTAGAAAAAGTCCCTGCTGCTGCAGTCAGTAGAAATTAGGAAATGTAGTTTCACTCCCTATTAGGCCAACACTAAATAATAGTCGCTGTAAAGTCGTGAAATTATTTTTTTCAGCAGTAACACTCAGTCTCTGTCACGCTCTACTGCTATTTCTTATTTAATTAGCTCTTTACTACACATGTTGAAATGTTCTACATGGCAACAACAAAGCATGAAACAAGAATAACAAACATAATTTAGTGCAAAACTAACAATATTGAGATTACTGAAGGAAGTGTGTTTGTGGACAGTGGATTAGTTCCCATTTATTTCTTTATATTCTTCTTTACGGGAGTCAGATTATCTTATTATTTCTTCATATAACTTGCCAAGTTGTTTTGTCCATTTGCTATGTATTTATTTGCAAATAAATACATTTGCAAGTACATTTTGAGTGTTTTTTAATACCTTGATAAATATCTTTGGATGATTTAAAGCATCTCCATTTTAAAAAGTTGACAAAGCTGAATAAGTGAAGGACGAAAAAGGAAGTCATAAATCATGAATCTATTTAAAGCGGAGGAAGATTGCCTCAAAGGGAAGTTTTGAAGAAGCAGGAAAGAATCCGTCGTTCTAAGAGCTGCATCATCGGTCTTAGTCTGTTTTTTTAAGCTCATAACTCTTTACAGCAGCTTCTTGTTGTGATCAAACTTGTTATTTATACTTTGTAAATTCAGTTAAACACGTTGGGACATTTCGACTGGCTGCAAGTAATCTAATACCTAAAGCTCAAATTCATTTTTAATTTAAATTTTTTGTTAAGTTGCCCGTTATGACTTGACTCTAAACATATTTATCCGTTGACCTTAAGAGCCTTTTTAGGCCTGAATGATGAAAATAAGCTGGAAGTGCTGTTGGTCAAAGCTCTGTTCAGACTTTAAGATGCTCTGGCTCAAGGCTTTTCCACAGCACTATGATGCACACCTAGAATTATAAAATTGTTTCTGTGTGTAAAAAAGCAGGAAGCTGCATAAAACCTTACACTAGAGCTGCTGACGTCTCCTGCAGAGCTTCAGTGACCAACATATGTAGGAGTTTAATTATGAAGGTCAAGGAAAAGGATTTATTTGCTTCAACACTTGTCGCATATATAAAACTGAAAAGTGTGGTGTGTATTTGCTGCCCTGAGTCAGCACTTTGTAGAAACAGGTTTTATGTTGATGGATTTGCACGTCTGCAGACATTTTTACTCATTATTATTAGCAAAATCACTCAATTTCAGTTGGATTGAATGGAGAGCATCTTTACACATTAATTTTCACAGATTCTTAGTTTGAACTTTGACTAGGCTGTTCTACCAGATGAATATGCTTTAATGTAAGCCATCCTAATGTAGCTTTGGCTGCTTCTCTGCAGTGCTTATGCATTCCCTCTGCAGTTTCTTGTTTTTGTCTGTCACATAATTTTCTAATAAAATACATTAAAGTTTCTGTCTACTCAAAAGGAATGAATACTTTCGTAGTAAGTCTTAGTTTCTTCAAACTGTAACGCTGACTTATGTTTATTATCACTGCTTTCTGTTTCCTTCTCTCATCTTGACGAATGCACCCAACACAAGAGTCTTTTGTTTTTTTAAAGTTAATTTCAATCTTTATTTTCTTTCATAAATAAATCACCAAGTCTTTAAACTGCGGTCCATATTTCTACCAGCTAACGCCTCATTTGTTTTCGCCACCAGCTGACTCTGCAGAAGCAGGCGTTGGACAAAGAGCTGGACTCTCTGAAGGAGAAGCTGAAGTGGACAGAGGAGCAGCTGAAGGAGAGCCAGAAGAAAGAGACTCAGACACAAGCCAAGCTGACGGTAACACACACACAGACACACACAGATGTGGTCCAAAGTCTTGTTTTTCTGCATCTGCACAGCTCAGTTATTCATTACCTAGGTGTTGAGTTTAGCGAGGAAGACATACATTTTTAAACAGCGTGCTGCATGTCAGCCGGATCACTGGGCTGAAGATGAAACATGAATAAATTATAAGAGAGCTCTGTCTTCTTCTGTCTCCATGTGGATAAATATTTTATAATTTGAAAAGGTTTATTAGAATCATATAAACTATTTACTATCTAATATACAAGTAAAAAAATAAAATGAAAGTTTGTTTTGTTTTGTTTTTTCAGCCGTAAAACGACTTAACTTGGCTGTTAAATTGCTCCATTCAATAAAAGTTTGTTGGTTAAAAACTGCACAGACACAGTGCAGCACTGGGACACATTTCTGCTCGTGTTACGTTTTGTAACTTGCTTGATCAGGTTTTTCTATTCTTGTGAAACTGTGATGGTTTATAGTTCTGTGTTCGTCTCTTATCTGAAAAATGCCTTCAAACACATTCAACTATTGTTGAATGTGTTTGAAGTTATTGTTGTCTTTTTTTAGAGACATAATGTGTCCGAGAATCAAATGCATTGATTTAAGAAATAATTTCTTTACTCCTATTTGAATATTGAAAGTAGTAGATTTGACAGTAGATTTGACAGATCAGTTTGTTTGACTGGATCTAATCCTCTTCCTCCTTCTTTTGCTCCTCATCCTCCTCCTTCTCCTCTTCCTCCTCCTCCTTTGTGTTTTATTGTTTCCAAACCACGCTTTAGGAAGCCGTACGTGAGGCGGAGGGTGTGGCAGTAACCCTGGAGCAAAGCAGGAAGAGAGAGCGAGCTCTGGAGGAGGAGGGGAGGAGGCTGCAGGAGGAGCAGGCTGACACTCTGCGCCTCCTCAGAGAACTGCAGGGTGAGGAGAGAGAGAGCTATGAATGAATCCCTCTCATGGATTCATCACATAGTGGCCGACTGTGTGTGCAGGAGTTCTTGAATGATTTACACAGTGACGTCCAAAAGTGTCCCCAGCTGCAGACTTCAGTGTTTTTTTTTGTTTGGTTTTACATGATAAAGCAGCAGAGAATGAAGGAAACTTGAGCTGCGCAAGAAAATAATACATGTTTTAGGTTTCTCCACAAAGAAAATAAGCAAAGGCCTGTTGTGTGTTCACCCCTTTTAATTTCACACCCATAAATACAATTAGGTGCAAACTTCAGTGCAGCTAAAATTATTATTTATATTCTTAGGTTTTAAAATAAAACAGAAACCTCTATAAAATGCAATTTGTGGAAAATTATGAAAAAACAACAACAAAAAAACAAAGCAATAACCATAAAAACTTTTATGTAACGAGTCCATTTAGTCCAGATTTTGAAAAATGTTTCCTTTTGCATCCTGAGGGAAAAATATTACTTTTTTCCATGATGTGTACTGTGTATTACATTGATCCAGTCATTGTTAGTTGTTAGTTTTTTCTTAGCCAGAGTTATAAAGAGCCATTGTGGAAGATTTAAAGAGTCACTTTCAGCCTAGGAACCCATCTCATAAAATCCCAGCAATTTATAAAATCAAGCTTGTAAAGTGAGAGATGGAGAAAACAGTAATACTTCTGGATGGCTCTGGATTTATTGTGTTCCTCCCAGAGGCTAAAAAATAGTTGAGTTGAATGCATTTATATCAATTCTTGTAGAATAACAGGGAAGATTATGATACCAATCAGCTCACAAAGATTAAAGCTGAAATAATCCATGTTCCCATTTCACCACCTGTGATTTCTGCATTAGGAGCTGCATTCCCAGCATAAACTACTTAACTACTGGTTAGTTTAAGAGTAAAATACGAAGAATAACCTTGTTAAATGTCTTTTATTACCTCAGAACAAAAAGCTCCTGCAGCATCGACTCAGCCTGCGCCGTTTGGACCCGTTGGACAGAGTTTTTCCTCTCCGTCTCGAGCCGCAGCCCACAGCAGGACCGCAGCTTCCCAGTCAGAGCAGAACAGGGATGGGAGCAGGTCAGAGGTCACGGCAGCCAGAGAGCCAGGGGAGGGAATCGACGCCGAGCAGATCAGCATCACAAACTCTGAGCGACAACAGAAAGTGGGACAAAGAGAAGAAGCTGATAAAGACGGAGAGATCCGGAGAAACGCTGCAGATGTCAATAGAGCAACAACTGCTGAACACCCACCGGCGGCAGGAGGCCTGAAGATCGAACATGCACAACTTCCTAAATCCGATGAACCCGCTTCGTCTCAGGACCTCAAGAGGGAGAACGACGGCCTCCGCTCGGAGCTCCGCGATGTCCGTGAAGAACTCCAGAGACGGCTGGAGGACCTGGAGGCCCAGCGGCGGGCCGAGACGGAAGCGAGGACCCGCCTCAGACAGCTCAGCCGCAAGCAGTCCACCCAGGCGGCGGAGAGGGAGGAGAGAGAGAAGGACCTGAAGGTAAAGCTGGAGAATGAGAAGGCTGAGACGGAAAGGCTGAAGAGGAGCCTTGCTGCTTTGGAGGCAGAGAGAAGCAGAGAGGAGGCAGAAAACGAGGAGAAGCAGGAACAGGAGACGAGCACCACTCAAAACGACAGAGAGAGCGAGCTGATCGAGCTGAACATGCAGCTGAAAAATCAGCTGGCAATGGTGAAAGCTCAGCTGGCTTTGGAACGAGAGGAACGAAAGACGGAGGAAGAGGAGAGAAACCAAAGGATGAACACAGATTCTGACGTGAACACAGAGCTGAGCTTGAAGCTCGCAGAGATCATGGCCGACGTCGAGGAGCTGAAGCACCGACGAGAAGAAGACTCGGTAGAAGACGAGAAGCTTTCCACCTCCAGCAGCCCCCTGCCCAGCCTTCCTGACGACGAACTCACCTCCAATACCGGTTGCTCTGACAACAGCCTCCTCTCCTCCCCAGAGGAGCACCTCCTCTTCTGTGAGTCCACCAACCAACGCAACGCTCTCCTGTCCACAGAAGCTGAAGACATTCTCCGTCTCGGTGGTCAAACAACCAAAGAGACCTCAGATCAGATCAAGCTTTCTTCATCAGACCTCCAGCGGGATCAGTGCCCGACCTCTGACCTCACTAAGGTGGTGGAGGTCCTGCAGAAAAAGTGTGCAAAGGAGTCAGAGCGGGCCAAAAAGTACAGAGATAAATTTGAGGCCCTGCAGATCCAGGTAAATCTTAATGATCTTGAATAAAATACAGAAAGATGATTATATGTTCCAAATAATCTTTTTAGGGTTTTTGCTAAAAAGAACTTTAATTCAGGTCCAGAGCTGTTTCAGATTATGATTTTATTCACAGCCTTATTTACATTGTTGGGTTCAAAAAGAAGTGACATCACAATCATTTCTAATTGAGACATTCTTATATAAATCTGGCTTCCTACACAATCTGGAAAAGTAGGAAACTTGGCCTTGAAGGATTTTTTTCCCATGTAAATTCAAGAAAAAGTATGAAAAAAAAAATCTGGACTCATCCAGCCATCCATTTTGTTTTTTGTTTGGCCAATTCATGTGAAATTTTCTACAATAAAAGGGGGAGGGGGGGTTGCATTTATATAATTGCTAAGAATTTTATCTAGAAAACTATGACATAAAAATTAAACCTGGTCAGACTGCATTGTTTTAAAACTCTGTAGTCGTTGGAGATTCCTATCATCTTTTATTTTTTACCTGTTTCTTATCTAATAAGAGATGTAAAAAAAAAAAGATACATTTGATGCACATTAGTTAAACTGTGTTTGATTAAATTATTCACATTTACTCCACCTAATTTCTGAAACTACCTAAAAGTTTAGTTTAAATGTCGTGTGGCAAATTGACCAGATGTTTGCAGCTGACAGATTTTGTGCTGTTTGCTCTTTTCTTTTCTGTTCTTCTGTCTGCTCAGGTAACGCGTCAGACCAAAGAGCTGACCACTGCCTTCGAAAAGCAGAGTCAGCACATCCTGGGCCTTCTTGCTGAGCTGCAGGAGAAAGAGGGCGCCCTCTTGAGCCAGGAAGAGGAATTGAAGCAATGCAAGCAAGAGTTGAACCAACTAAAGCTGGAAGAAAACAATGTGGCAACACTGACAGCTAACAGAGAGACCGAAGGGAGAAACAGAGATGAAGAGCTTACAGAGAAATCAGAACTTAAACAAGAAGAAGAGGCTGTTGCTCCTCTTTCCTCGTCAGACTTAAATATTCAAAAAGAAACAATTCAGCCCAACGTTGAGGAGTGTGAAGCTGAAATGCCTCCACCTGTTGGTGGTGAAGGTGAAAGTGCAGCAGTAACTTCTGGAGAGAGGTCTGCAGTCGGTCCATGTGGCTCTGTAGGTGAGGTGGAAGAGATTCAGCTCAGCCAACATGGAGAGAGAGTCGACACGTTAGCAGAACTTCATGTTCTCAGGCAGGAAAAGCAGCTGCTGCAGCAGAGAGTCAGGGTTTTGACCAACATGGACACCAGAGACCAAACTTCACAGACTGACGGCGAGAATCAGGACAACACAGAAAACACGGCCTGCTTGGCAGGGGACGTTCTGCTCAAGGAAGAGGCAGCGACAGACCAGCAGCTGCTAATAAATCTGAAGAGGAGGGATGATGAAGGTCAAGATTTGGAAGGAGAAAACACAAGCAGCATGAGCGGTGAAGGAAATGCAGAGGACATGACTGAGATCCAGATAAACCGCCTGCAGGAACAGGTACTGAGCACAAACTCAACACTTTTTACTGATTCTTGTGCCAAGTTAAAATGAGAGAAACAGAAAAATCTTTTGAAAGTCATTTTACTTTCCCTGAACATGAAATGAAAAGTCAAAGTGAAAAAGATGTTAGAATTGTTCTGAAGAACCTTCTGAAACGTACCCATGTTGTCCAGGTGGAGGCGCTGCTGAGACGAGTCAGGACTCTCACAGAGGAGACGGAGGTCCAGGCCCAAGAGCTCGTCTTATGGAGACTAGCGTCCCAGCCCGCCTCTGCAGTCCAACACTTACTCACCGACGCAGACGATGAGAGCGAAACGCTGCGACGGATTCCTGCTGCCAGTCGGTCTGAACTCGCTCAGACCGGCCACAGCCAGGTCCAGAAGAACCCGGACGCCGTCACGGTCATCAGAGAGGATGAAGTATCGCTCTGCTGCTCCTCTAGAAAGCTGCAGGGTCGCCTGCTGTTCTCCAGGTAAACCAAACTCCCCCGGCCTGCTTTCAGCCATCTTTTGACGTACAAATTTTTTATGAAATTAAAGTTTTTATGTTTTTTATTAACTATAAGACTCCAGAACAGCAGCCTTCCTGAATCAAAGAGCCTCCGTTCGCCTAAGAAGTCTCTTCAGGGACAGACCCGGAGCGGTGCAGAGTTCGACCCGGTGATTGTTTCAGGCTCTCGCTCACAGCGACGCGGAAAGTTTTTCAGAACTCTTGAACCTTTTCACATTTTACAAAGTTGTGACCACAAACCTCGATGTATGACAGAGCAGCACACAGCGGCAGGCCCAAAAGGATTCACAGTTCTCATTTCTTCCAAATAACAATCTGAAAAGTGCGGCTTTCATTTGTATTCAGCCTCTGAAGTCAATGCTTTGTAGCGCCACCTCCCAGTCGCAGCTGGAATGTTTCCACCTGTGTTGCGTATCTAAAGGTGGACATTTCACTGCAAAAACACAAAAAAGTATTTTTCTCTAGTTTCTAGTGTAAATATGTTACTACACTTGAAATAAGACAAAACTTACTTACAAGTTGTTTTTCAGAAAGATCTAGTAGATTTCTTTAAGTCAATAATTCCTTAATATTGATTGGAAAGTATGAATTTTGCTTGAAGATTATATGACTTATGGATAAAATGTCTCATAAGTGAAATAATCTGCCTGTAGTAACGATACTACTTAACTTACTAGTAATAGCTAGTTTTATCAATATTAAGAAATTGACTTAAAACAAGCTGCTGTATCTTGCTGAAAAGTTTTTTGTAAATTAGTTTTGTTTTATTTCAAGTGAACTGAGATCTTTGCACTAGGAACTAAACCACAATACTTGGTAAAGTTTTGTGTTTTTGCAGTGTTCTACCAATTCTGCTTTACAAAGTAATTTAAACTCAGTCAGATTAGACAGAGCTCATCTGTGAAACATCACTTTTATTAGAATTGCCACAGTTTGGACTTTGACTAGGTCATTTGATCTAAATCTTTCCACTGTATCTGTGGCTGTATTTTTGGGGTCTCTTCTAAATTATCAATATTTTTTGCAGATTCTGGCAGGTTTTCTCCCAGGACCTTTGCTATTTTTAACTCCATCTGTCTCCTATCAACTCTAAACACATTGCCTATCCATGGTGAAGAAAACCAGCTGCCACTGCCAGGTTTCACAGTCGTTTTGCCATAATTTGTTTTGCACATGAACTAAAATATTCAATTTTGATTTTTTTTTTATGACAGAAAAATGGCCGGATTTTTGGTTGTACTAGATTTTATTTGGGGATATCAAAGTAAAGAGAGCTGAATACATCTAAAGTTGCACAGATAAGCTGAAAAACATTGAATTAGTTTTCTCTCACTTCACAATTACCTTCTACTTGTTTAATTTTGACAAAATGTGAAAAGGTTAATGGCGTATGCATATTTTTGCATGGTTCTGTACATACTAGATTCATAAGTGCGCCCTGCAGACGGTTTTTCTCTTTAATGAACCATTATGTAGTTAAATAAATGTAGTCCATTTAGGAGGAATGGGAACACTTTGTTTTCCTTGTTAATTTGAAGCAGCTGTGCAATTTTCCTCAAATTCTAGAAAAATAAAGTGTTTTTCAAATTGTTAAACTAACACATTAAACATTTACAGATTAATATAAGTGGAGCCTAATTTAGTTCTGAGTAACTTATTAAAAATACAAATAGTTTCCAGTAGGAGAGCACTTTTCAGTAATAAGTTGTTGTTTATATCTTTCTCCAGGAAACATTAAGCACGTGTACATGAAGACGTCAATATTCGTCGCTTTCATTTACAAAAGAAATGCAGATATTAGTTCATGTCAATGAACTGTTGCCTGGTTTGTTTTTAATTACTGCTTTTTTGTTGTTGTTTTTTTAATCAGGAATCTGAAAAAGAAAACCAGGAGATAAACTTGCATTGGTCAGAAAGTTATCCAGAACAAAACAAAGTGAAGAAAGACGCTAAGCTCATCCAAGTGTCGTCGCAGAAGATTGCTCAACACCATGGAGCCAGAGATCTCAGCCTCTCAGGATTGAGTCTAAGCAAAGTGCAACATTTCCACACAGAAACTCACCAGACCAAACTGGACTCCTTCAGAGGAGCCGGTGACTTTGAAACACCGATTTACCCCAGTGACAGTAACGTGAAGGTAGAGGCTGTGAGTGTCGGCAGTCAAACTGAGGGCCGTTTGCTTCCTCGTGGAGTTTCCACGGCGTCTGCAGCCACTCAGACCGAGCAGGACTTCAGTGATGAGGAAGAGTCAGTCGAATCTCCTCCCGTTTCTCCCGTTTCTTCAGCGGAGAAGACGGAAGCAGGGGACAAAATGTTGTTCTCAGGTTCTTTTCCCATCCCGGCCGATCCGGCTCGTCTCGCTGAGAGGATCCGCCGCAACAGGGCGCAGCTGTCGGCCGCCTTCGATGACACGGAGTACGAGCCGTACGGCCTGCCAGAGGTCGTCATGAAAGGTAGGGTTTATTTAAAAATCACGTTTTAAATAAATTCATAATGCCCTGCCATACAATATTATGGCATCAGTCAGTCATACTGTAATAATTTGTACATGCTTTTAACATATAATTAACTTAAATACGTGACTTTTTTTTATATAAATAAATGAAGCACATAACTTTAGATGAATCTGTTCTTTTAGTATTTGATATTTATTTTCCATTTTCTTTAAATTTCCCCCTTTACAGATATTTTCTGAAGGACTTGTTTGTTTATTGAATTGTGTTCACTGTTGGTTCAGCATTTTTGCTCTTTACTGCCCCCAAGTGGCCAATGTCTGTAGAAGAAAATAAAAGTTCTTGGTCTGTTCCCTCACATCCTTCAGGTTTTGCTGACATTCCCACCGGCCCGTCATGCCCATACATTGTGAGAAGAGGTTTGTTAGGAACAGTTCAACCTTTATCTAAGAAAGAACCACAAGGAGACGAGGAGACGGACTAAAGCATCAGGTATGGGCGAGAAAATGTCTGACATTTTTTGTTTTACTTGAACACCAAGACTAAAGACGGGCAGCAATCCTGTTAATGAAGTGAATGCTGGGGCATTCTGATTAAGTTTTTGGACTTTCACTGGTAAATTTAATGCTTCAGATGACATGAAGCAGGGATAGCTCAGTCGGAGAGATGCTGGAAATCTCAGCTGTAAACTTTTAATGACTAAAACAGTGTCAGTGGGTTTTGCTCATAACCAGATGCAAGACTCTCCACATTTGTTGGCACTCTCACGTATAACATCTTTTAAAAGTTGCATCTTTTTATTTAATAAATAGATACATTTAACCTTTTAACATAAATACATTTATTATGGGGGTAAAAATGATATTACGGTATTTTAGGCTCATTTTTAACTTGTTTTTAGCTCATCTTTTACGAGCTAATTTAAAAAATAGATTTTTCAATTGTTTTAAATCCTAAAAAATATAACATTAAAATTTACCAAAAAGCAAAGAAATGTCATATTCTAGTCTTTGTTTATTTAATCGTTAATGTACATGTATTAAATAAATGCAGATTGATTAACATTTAATTATTTAATGTATTGTTTCAATTTTTAATTAACCAACTATTACTTTTGGTTTTTGGAGGGCTATGTAGGTTTTGTGGTTTATGATAAATTGTGCATCTTGAAGGGTGAGGGTAAAAATGGCCTCTCTGGAGAGAAACTAATATCTGCTCTCAACCCAAATCCTTTAGAAAACATGTGGAGCGAGTCGGAGGCGGCATAAGGGAGAATCTAGTGTGTAAAGGAGAATATTCAAGGATTATCTTCGTTCCCCATCCTTGCGAAATGTTCTGGCAGAACAAAAAGTGCTGTCCTGTTGGCTAAAGATCGCTGTACAAAGTGTTAGCAGCAATAAATGTGGCGCTGACGGTTTCCTTGAAGCAGTTATTCCCACAAACTCACTCAATGTCCTCAATTTAAAGGTTGAGTTTTACTAATCTTTGTAGGATAAAAGCTATGCAGCTGCAATGAATATAAAAATAAGACTTTCTGTACATATTGAGCAAATGAGTCTTTAAATGTGCTGTGTCTGTTTCCTGTTGGTTTTGGATGAACTGATGATATGTTCTGTTTTATGCAGATCTAGCAAGAGGATCTGGTCACTTTAGGAGGATTCTCTGCTCTGTTCGTCAGTCTGCAGGTAACTGGGTCTGACGAGCTGCACTCCTCCGCCTCGGTTCTGAACGGCTTTAATTGTCCCAAGTTCACCCTGAAGTCGCTGTGCAGAGACTCTGCCGCTAATCCACACCCACCTGTGTAATCAGACTGTAGGTTTGGGATTTAGTGACGCCTGTTTCTGTTCTTGAACCTCTCTTCCAAAGGGATTGTTTTGTTTTCTTCTCACTCCTGCGTCGGGGGGCCTCGGCTCACCTTGAATTAAACAGTGCCTCGTCGACGTTTTTCTAAACCTGTCCAGATGAGTTTGACTTGTTTTCCAAGAGGGTCGATCCAGTAGTGAGAACACGTCTTAAATTTTCCTGTTTTAACTTTGTAAGCTTTTTTTATTTATGGACACTTGAATGTGTTTTATTAGTGAGTGGGAGGGATGAACGTTTACAGAAGTGTGTGTGAAAAACATTAGCTGTGAAAATGAACATGTGTGTCCTCATCTTGATGTCACTGTTTGTATATAAGTGTGTGTGTGTGTGTGTGTGCGTGCGCGTGCGTGTTGGGTGAGCACACGTCTATGAGTCAGTGTAACCTGCACTGGTTTCCGCTCCATGTATGGAGATGCACACTGAGCTCCTTCTCTCCTCTCTGTCCTGCTATGCTTCCCCGTCCTACACTAACAAACACTCTAACACTAGCTGGCTTTAAAGCCACTTAAAAAAACAAAAAAAAAAAAACCTGAAGTTTAATTTTGTGGGATCCTGCAGAGTCTGGAGAGGTATGAGAAAACATCTGGTCTTCCTGGTTGTGGAATGTGAAACTAGAAAGATCTTTTTGGTTTTCTACAGCATAAAAACTCAGAGTATATGTGCGTGTTTCTCTGCTACCTAGAAATGGGAACACAGTTTTACAGAGTGAACTTAAACATCACATTTTAATGAGGGGAAACCTCAGTGATGTCATTAGAAATAATAAGCTGATTGATCCACATAGACACAGCAATCATTTCCCTCTGAACTTTTCCCAGTTTTTCTCATTAGAAGCACAAACATCTTTGGAAAAAGTTACCTGATCAAAGTTTGTTCTTCCACATGATTTTCTCTGTCTGTTGTGTTGCTTATGGGGAACTTTAAACCAGGGGTCATTTGTGGCCCCTGATCTGATTTTGTGCAGCCACTTTATGATGCAGATATCTCCACCAGTGCAGGTGATTGATGCAGACAGAGAGGCTTTTTTGTTTGTTTTTTTTTCAATTAGGAAAAAAATGACCCACATTATGTTTTTATAGAAGAGAATAGACTTGGTCTTTTTTGGTTTTATTCAGTTGACCCCAAAATAAATGACTGAAGTAGCTATATTTTATTTTAAGGTTTCAGAACAAAGAGATTAAATATGACTGCAAACACAATAGTTAAAAAAAAAAAAAAGAAATAAGAAAACCATGTCAGATGTGTTTTCTGTTGCCTTGCAGCAAAATCGTTCAAACTCCAGACTTGGGTTTTTTGTTTTGTTTTGCGCTTACATGTTCTCCACTTGGATAGGTTTTTGCATTTTCTCCGGCTTCCTCCCATGTGATGTACAGGCGACCAATGACTGCTGGAGGCCCTGCAGGAATAAGTGGGTATAGACAATGGATGGATTGTTTTCCTTCCACTTAACGATTACGTTCTACTTGCATCTAAGTCATAAAATCCCAGTAAATTACTCAGATGTTTGAGGTTGTATCAGGAAAATGAAAAATCAGAAAAACCACCATCATACAAGCATTTACTGTGAATTATCTGTAATTGTACATTACTAAGTTTCCAAGATAAAAATGTGTTTTTGAAACAAAAAATACGATGAAATAATTGAGGTCCCAATATAAGTTATTTCAGTCTGACACCTACATGCAGACTTAGAGACGTTCGGATAAAAGCAACAGAAAAGAAAAAGAAACACAAAACACAAAAGAAACAGTCAGAACTGGACTTCTTTAATATTTTTGTTATAAAACAAATGAACAGAATTCTTATTGTTTCTTTTAACTAGATGGATCTTTTTGAGGTTATTAAACCTTATGAGTCCGCTAGGAAATATGACTTTTAATCGACTTGAGCTCTGGTTTATATTGAGCCAAGATCATCTGGTTTCAGTCGCTTTAACACAATTATGATGTGGGAGTAACTTGTTACATTTTATTTACAAATCCAGTTACATTTTGAAACACAAATAATCAAAATGTGCAAATTATTGAGCATTTTATGTTTGGTTTCCCCATGTTGAGTCTCGTGCCTTTCGGTCATCTTGTAAAATGTTCTGATAAAGGGAAACAACAATATCACTGTTTTTTTTTTTTTTATTGTTATAAAGGATCAACTTGTCTGAAGATAAAGCAAGTATTTCTTTCTATTTCAGTCAGAATTAAATGGCCTTCATAGATAAACTCAAGTGATGACGCTCGGAGCTGCAGGCTCCTCTGTCATGCTGCTGCTGGAACGTCATGCTTTCCTTTTTAGTTGCACGAACGCAGGTGAAAACTGTTTGATTTGCTTTTATTAGGCCACTTTTCATCAACTTGAACATACTTTAGACTGTTTTTATTAAAATCTTGTAGTCTAGAATATTTTTAAATGATCTTGAATTGTTTGAATGTGCGTATTAGTGCTTCAGTTGCGTTTTGAGGTGGAATTAGTGAAGCTACATTTTAGAAATGTATTTTTTTTTTTATTTCACATTTTCTGGCTTTTGTTTTTTTAATTTAAATGCTGCCGTTCTCTCCTGGCATTACCTGCTGACTCCACCTGAGCTGTTCAGCCTTCGTCTGACAGTGAGCAGGGAAACTGTTACCTTCCTTCACTGTGGATGTGTCTGGGTTTTTCCAATTTCAATAAAACTTTTGCTCCTGTTTTAATTGTTTTTCTTTAAGTGCCTTCCACTCATTGTCTGTTTTGTTCATCATACATGAAGGGATGTTTTTTTTTTTTTTTTTTTTTTTTCATTTAAGACTTAACTGGTGTGGTCAAATGAAGACAGCCTCAAAGTGTTTTTTGGTGGAATATCTTGGTTAAATCACATAAGTGTTTCCGCAATTATCAACGTCCCTCTGCCTTTGCCTCTTGGTCACAAACACATTATTAGAAGTTGCTGAAGAGCTCTGCGGCTTTTTCAGCCTGCTTTCTTTCACAATGCACATTTTCCTCAAGTGCTTCAAAAACTGTGGACCGTAATTCTGGTTTTTCTGGTTTTGAAGAAACAAATGTCTCTTCTGACTTCCCGAATCGACAGAACCCAGACAAGCGATGGATTTAGAGAGAGCCGAGACACACACACATACACACACACACCCTGATGTCCAGCTCAGGAAACTCCAGGCCCTCTGCTCTTCCTTTTGCTGTGACGCCACTCCATCAAACATTCACACACACACACACACACACAGAGCTCTGTAATAGCCTTCTCATGCACTCCGCCTCATCTTTTCCTTCATCTCCTCCTACCCTCATATGATCCGCTCCCCTCTGCCCGAGTGATGCGGGGTCACGAGAACGGGGGAAACACCTTCCAAGGAGAAAACACACACATGCACTCATGCATCCGCACAACACACACGCTGAGCTCATCGCTCACTCCTGAATGGTGGGAGAAGAAGAGTTTGTGCATAAAGTAAAGTTGGATACCAACGTTTGCCAAAACTCAAGGTAAGAATCGTCTTTTAGAGTTTTCGTTTTTTTCTGTCTTGTTTTTTCTATCGTGTCTGCTGCTCTGAGGCCTCTGCTACAAATTTTGTCAGAATGTATAAAAACACAGTTTATTAATGTGCTGATCTAGCATGGGCTCTCTAAGCAAAGTAACCTCACTGCAAAAAATGCCCTTCTCAAAACAAGTAAAAAAAAATATGGAATATTAGACATTTTCCCCATGTTTAAATGAACAAATCTGCTGGTGGGAACAGTAGTTTTTATTAATAGTCAAGAATTATTAATAGTCAAGGCTTGGAACAATTTCCTACATCTTGCTGAAAAGTTGCTTGTATGTTTTGTCTTGTTTTAACACAAAACATACTAGAGACTAGACAAAAACACTTAGTAAGATTTTGTGTTTTTGCAGCGTTAACACAGGCTTGTTTTTTGACAGATTTATCCACGTGTTTATTTGTCAGCCGGAGTATTGTCTCCGCTTTTACTGCACCCCAAAAGCATTCTGTCATTTTGTTCCCAGAGCATGAAACCAGAACTGCAACCTGTGATCTCCTGACGTCAGGGCTGGCTCTCTGTTGAATACTTTCAGGCCAGATTATGACTGAAGGCCCTTTATTTTTGACCTTCGTGGTAAATTCTTGCATAAGAGACTACATTTTCTCCCACAGTCGGTCATCTCAGTCTTTGATGGTTTGTCTGAAGTTTCTACAACAGCCGTGCCACTAAAATTCTTTCAAGGCTGCAAATTTTAGTTTGGGTTTCTTCTTTGTTTTTGGCTTTAGCAGTTTATTCGTGTGTTTTTTGTTGTTGTTTTTTTTATTTTGTTTTTTGCATTTACGTAATACTGTAAATGCCATCTGTTTCCGTTTTGTATTATCATTCAAAATGTTTTTTCTGCAGAGGTCTTAACTCCCCCTGAGGCCTGAAATCTCACGAGATATTATTAAACTGCATGAAACTCCCTAATATGGTTGCTTGGGGATTTATAGTGCTTTGTCTAAATATTTATTTTAATGGCTTAAAGTCATTTTAAATGACTATAGTAAACAGAAATTCTTCTAAGACAAAATTGATCTTTTCTTAGAAAAATCGTGTTTATTAACGTGTTCTTAGATTCTTGAAAACCTTTGAGAATAAAGTTTATTTGTGGTTTTTACTTTCCCCCCTTACATTGTATATGGGTAATAAAATAGGAGCATCTTGCCACAGTTATCCTTATGCCTTGCAAAAGTATTCATACCCACTAACATGTCCACATATTGTCCACATATTGTCCCATTACATGCACAAACGTCAGTGTGCCTTGTTGGGATTTCATGTGATAGACAAACACAAAACATCACATCAGATTAAGATAAAAACTAAATGTTTTGGTCCATGTCTGGAGGGAAACCAGCACTGCAGCATCATGCTGTGGGGATGTTTTCGTTCAGCTGTAGCAGGGAATCTGGTCAGAGATGATGGGAAGCTGGTGGGAGCTAAAAAAAGAGTCATCCTGGAAGAAAACCTGTTGGAGGCTGAAAGAATACAACGGAGGTTCAGCTTCCAGCAGGATAAACAATCCTGAATTTACAGCCAGAGCAACGCCGGAAGGGTTTAGATTACAGTGTTTTCATGTACAAAAATGGCATAGTCCAAGGCCAGACATAAATCCAATTGGGAATCTGTCGCAAGACCTGAAAATTGATGTTCAGAGACACACATGCACTCCAGTTAACTTTCTTTACATGTTTCCACATTATCTTGCTGCTCTAGCTCATAAAATAATCAAGGTTTGTGGAGGCACAGTGGCAAGATGTGGAAATGTTGTACAAGTATCAATGCACTGTGTATACCCCGTAAAAACACAAAATCTTAACAAGTATTTTCAGCCTAGTTTCTTGTGCAAATATCTTTGTGCATTTGAAATAAGACAAAACCAACTTGCAAGTAACTTTTCAGCAACATATATGTGCTTGTTTTAAGCCAATAATTCCTTAATATTGATGAAAAAGTACTAGGCAGATTATTTCATTTATAACATGGGGAAAATGTATTTTTATAAGTGAAATAATCTGCCAGTGGAAGTAGTACTTTTCAATCAGTACTAAGGAATTATTTACTTAAACCAAGCTCCAATATATTGCTGAAAAGTTATTTGTAAGTTAGTTTTGTCTTATTTGTGCAGTGGCACAAACCGAGCTTATCTTCCTCCAGTCCACCACAGTTTGGTAAGATTTGTCCCGTTGTAAATGTAAACCTAAGAATACCTCGTTTATAACTGGTCCTGCCTTCATGCTTCTTTCCAAACAGCTAAGCTCCTGATTTATTATCCCACCTGCGCTGATGTTTACCTCAAGATTAGATCTCAGTTTGTCGGCCTCCTTTCTCCAACCTAATAGCTCAGCACAATATCAAAATGTGCCAGTGAAGGTTTAGACAGTGATATAACCAAAAACATCTGTCAGGGCTGGTTAGCAGGACTCCCCACGCAAAACAAAGGCAGCAGTCCATTAGAGCAGAATGCTAACAATTGGCCTGGCTCTGGGAAATCTCAGAACACTGTCAGAGTCCACGTGGTGGCGACCGGGTCTGCTCGACCCGGGCCAAGCAGCACCTAAATCCCAGCCCTGTTTGTCTGAGCGCCTGTGTCTGAGGTAAACGCGGCTCAAAGAAAAGCACGAGGAGCCAAGTGAAGATAAGAGATAGACCTGGTTTTTGATTAATGCTGTGTGATGTTTCTCTGGAAGCTTGGCAAAGTCCAATCATCTTAGAGGCCGCTGGCAGGGTGGCCTGCATTTTGTCACTTTTGTACCAGTTTTCGTGGTAAATTCCCTCCAGCAGTGTTCAATGGAAGAGCTTTGAGAGAAGCTGGGAAGTGTTTGTGTACTGACGCGTACGTTTGTGTGTCCACAAGTGTTTAAATGGCTTGAATGGAGCAGAGATGGAGCCGCACTTCTCCTCTTCTGAGCGCTGAAGATACAACCAGGAAAGAGGAAAAGATTATTTTTCTCCAAATGATCTCTGGGGGTTTAACATGGGATGAGCCTGCCATCAGTACAGTAAGGTACAGACTCACTTTCCTGTTTTGTTGTCAAGTTTTCTTATTACGTAGAGGCAACGTTTGGTAGTAACTAGCTACATTTAACCAGTCACTTTTACTTGAGTTGCTTTTTGGAAAAAAAAAAAAAACTTACTATGCTGTATTTTTTAACTTGAGTAATTTTATAATGTATTATCAGTACTTTAATTTGAGTAAAATTTCTAGGTACTCTCCCCACCGTGAGGAACTTCACTAAATGAAAAACAAACTTGTTTTAACCAAAGTACCACCAGACACACCTACAGTTTTTATTCAAGTTTCATTAGATTTATTTTAAAAGAAAATGATTTGGAAAACATTTTAAATTAATGTTATAAACTTTCATNAATGNTTAATTAATGTTATTAATGTTATATTGGAATTATTTTAACGTTTGTTCCACATAACTTTATAATTTGGTCTGTCTGATGTGATTTTTAAATTAAATGACTGATGTTCCTCAGTATTTGAAATGCCTTTTTATCAAATACTGATTTACTCTTACTTGAGTAATTGAGTAAAACATGTTAAAGTAGTGCTACTCTGACTTGAGTACAATTTGTTGGTACTCTACCCACTTCTGAGAACAGGAAATGCTTGAACATTGGAAAATAGAAATTTACTTTTTCTGATTTAATTTCCTTTTTGGCACTTTATTGTTTCAGATAGTCAAAAAAATGTTCATTTTAAAGTTAACCTGAGTGAATACAAAATGGAGGATAGGGTTTTTGTCACTTTTGTTCTTCCACTTTTTAAATTTTAAGGACTCTCTCTGACATGCTTTCATGGTCGGGCAAAGGACAGGACAGAAAATTAAGGAAAATTTAAGAAGTCACTGATGGAGATTATTTCACAAAGATTACCAAGAAAATCTGACTTCTTGAAGAAAAAATTAGAGAAATTAGAATCTGTTTAAACCTTTAGCACAGTGCTGTACTTGTACTATGAAAGAAGCAATAAAAGGATCATTAAGATATTCATTTTACACCATGGTACATTATCTCTCTCCTAAATTGAATCAATGACGATACAAGCTGAAAACAGCCCAAAATATGCTACAATCTCACATGTTTTCGGCAATAAACACTGGAGCCTTGGTGTCTAACAATTTATGTAACAACTTTAAAGGAAACCTATCGTCTTCTTTAAAGCATTGCTTGTTCATTTAAAACAGGAAGAAATTGTTCTCCATCGTCAATGTCTTTCTGTCTTAAATCTCATAAAACTTCACGCGGTATTAAGAAGTAGACGGAAAAGTCATAATCTTCCTTTCATACAAAATGGAAAAAAGATTTAAAAAAGAGCTTCAAAAATGTCATTTATTATTAAATAAAATTTTAAATTACAAATACACTTAGGGGGAAAAATGGGAGCTATTTAATACAGTAAGTACTAACACAAATTTACCCATGTGACATTAACTGATTATAGTTTGACCCACAGATGTGAGAAGGGTCTTTGTTTCTTCCCAGAACACTTGTCCACCTTGTTTGTATATATCTGCACTCATGCATACAGCGCTTGTCTAAAGGAACTTCCTGTTTGTGGCCAGCTGCATCCTGGTGCATCCTGACTGAGACCCCGGACCAGTCCCCGGACCCTGGAGGGGTAGGGGTGACGAGCAGGAGAAAAATGCGATGCACCACCCTCACCACCTTGCTGACGGGGGTCATGCTGTACCTGGGCATGGGAGCGCTCGTTTTTGTCACCCTGGAGACGCCAAAGGAGAGCAAGGCACATGTAAATCTGCTCAAGGCCAAGCAGGACTTCCTCAGTAACAACTCCTGCGTCACTGAGGTTAATTTCCAAGAACTTGTGAAGGTATCGTCAGACACATGAAGAAAATATTTCTCCTGAGTTCCCTGTTCTTTATTGCACTAATTGCACTAATTTATGGCGCAAAACATATATATATATATATATATATATATATATATATATATATATATATGTATATATATAGATATGTATATATATATATGTTTTTTATATGTTTTTTTTAAATATGATTAACCTTTGATCTATTTCCACATTTTTTCATGTTACAACCACATGCTAAAATGTATTTTATTGGGATTTTTTTCACATATTTTTAGAAGGAAAATAATAAGACATTGACAAATTTGGTGCTCCATTGGACCCAGGCCCTTTGGGTAAAAATTTTGTAAAACCACCTTTAAATGTATAAACCTCTTATGTTTGACTTAGCTCCAGTAGGTTGTCTTTACAACAGACTCTCACAGGTTCTTTTTTGATTATTCTAACAAAAAAGAAAATTAAGTTGGTGGTTAGCATTAGTCCAGCAGCTTCTGCTCCACAGTTACGGACAGCAACAGAAAAAGGGGCAGATTGTGACCGTATAGTGGTATTTAACATAAATTTACATCATTTACCCAAATAACCAATCTCATCTTTAACATAAATAATATATATAACAATATGTTTTTAGTACAGGAAATAAAATCACACTTGTAACACTCAAAGACTATCACACAAATGAAACATTACTTTGAATCAAAAATTAAAACACACCCAAGAAAAGAGAAAATCAAGTTGGTGGTTAACATCAGTCCAGCAGCTTCTGCTCCTATACATCAAATAAAATGCAATAAATAACCCTAAAACTACAGAGCAATAGCTCCCAATGAGCAGTTAGCAGCAGTTAGCAACTGTAAAATTAAATCTAGCTAAACTGCACAACATTAATAAGGATAGCTAAAAATTTATACAAAACATAGCAAAATTACTAATGAAACAATGTATATGATTAGATTTGTCTAATCTAATCACAGTGGCGCAGTTGGCAGAGCTGTTGCCGTGCAGCAAGAAGGTTCTGGGTTCGATTCCCGGCCCCGGTCTTTCTGCATGGAGTTTGCATGTTCTCCCTGTGCATGCGTGGGTTTTCTCCGGGTACTCCGGTTTCCTCCCACAGTCCAAAAAACATGACTGTTAGGTTAATTGGTCTGTCTAAAATTGCCCCTAGGTGTGTGTGTGTGTGCGCATGGTTGTGTGTCTCTGTGTTGCCCTGCGACAGACTGGCGACCTGTCCAGGGTGTACCCCGCCTCTCGCCCGGAACGTTAGCTGGAGATAGGCACCAGCACCCCTCCCGACCCCACTGAGGGACAAGGGTGTTCAGAAAATGGATGGATGGATGTCTAAAATATATGCCAATATGCGTCACTTGTAAAGAAAATACAGAGCTGATCCTAATACATACCACCGTTACAGATCGGCTCCTCCGAACAAAAGTCGGAGGAGCTGTCAGTTACTGGTTGCTATGGTAACCACCAACCGTTAAAAGCGGCATAACAGAACGTAAAACATCAATAAATGTCCGAAGAAGCGACTTGTATCACTGTGGCTATATTTAATGTCCTTTATATAACATAATAAAATAATGACCACCTCATCACATGACTGCGCCCACATGCTATGAAGCATTCTCACATGTTTCTCTCTTTGAATGTTATCAAAATTAAAGCAGACGGTGTTTGCCTGCAGCCTAAAAGTTTTTCATCACATTCTTTCAAAACAGTAGGACAGCATAACTTTCACCAAATGATTCTCACTTATGTAGTGTGTCTGCACTACTTAAAGGTTACTGCTGTCCTTAACTCATTTTATTGACATATTTTAATAAATATTTAGATCTACACAGGAGCTCTTGGTTGTTCTGCAAAACAAGCTCTACTGCTCACTGATAGCACAATGATTGATTGGTGCAATAATTAGGATCTTCAAGGTCTTGGTTTTTATGGACATACGATATTTAATCCAGGGAAGATTGGACAATGTCTTGCATTGTTTTCACCAAAGAATAAGAGACTTTAAAATATTTGGAAATGCTCTTAAAAACCATTCTCTGGCATTTTCTGCTGCCGCTCCATGTTAATTACATGGCATCTCATAAGAACTGAACAAAAAGATTTCAACGGAGAATGATGGGAATTCAAGCTTCACAGAGAAGGAAGGCAACGGTGATATGAACATTCATTGTGCAGAAACTATTTGGGCTCGCTTGCAAGGGGAAAAACACCGTTGGTTTATGACGCCTGTCAAAAAATACGACTCTATTAATTTGAGTTACAACAACCACCTGCAATCTTTTCTCTGAGCGGCGCCCTGTGATCTGCTCTGGCATTTTTCTGAAAAATGGGAAGAGAGACAAGGACACTGCAAACAGAAAAGCAGACAGGAACAGTTTACAGTGACTATCACCTGCTAAAAATCCCAGGGTTTTGTGACGTCAAGAAATCTTCAAGTGGACGCCACCGAAAATATCTTTCCGCCTTTTATTATGTGACATGAATCCTGTTCAGTACAGCTGAAATATTTTATTTTGTGCACCTTTACATTGAGTTTCAATTTCTATCTAATTACCATAATTAACCTTGAATACAGTTCAACTATTCTTGTAAGATTGTCTTCACCTCTGCCTCTTTTAGTTAAAGCCATGTTTTTATTAAATAATTAATTATCTGGTGAAACATGTCACAGTAACATAAATTAAATGGACCACATTTCTGCTGATCATACCAGATACATATTGTCTATCTGTAGTAAAACAAAATTGCAAAAATATTGGTATTTTTGTGCAGGATCATATTACATTTATAATAATTTTAATTTCACATTTTAATTTATTGCTTTCATTTGAGTGTGTTTAGCAAATTTACATGTGGAATGAGGAAAATTACAAATAAAGCTACAATGAGTAAATATTTGCAAGAACTGGTCATTTACATGTTGTTTTGCAGGAACTGGTGTCTGCTGTCGAGGCAGGCCTGGACATAAGTAGCCTCTCTGCCAACCTGACCAGCCGCTGGGACATGGGCTCCGCTTTCTTCTTCTGTGGTACCATCATCACCACCATAGGTAAAGAGCAACAAAATACATCTATCCGATTGTCTTAACCATTGATCTCTCTCAAATATTTTCACTATCGGTTCACAGTGTGATGTTTTGTTGTGCGTGTCTCCCAGGCTTTGGGAATCTGTCCCCTCGGACGTGGCTTGGACAGCTGTTCTGTGTGTGTTACGCCCTGGTCGGTATCCCCATGTTTGGCATCCTGCTTGCTGGAGTGGGTGATCACATGGGCACGGTGCTGCGGAGAGCTGTGGCCAAGATTGAGAAGCTGTTTTTGGTGAGAATGGTCTGTCCTGTACGCAAGCTGAACCTCAGTCTAAACCTGGGAAAGGAAAGATGTCTAATGACTTTCTAACCCAAAATAGAAACCGAGTTTCTGAGGCTGAGCCTTTCCTATCAGAGTATCAACAACACATAGAGGGTAGCTGTGAAAATTGACTTTCTCTTTGACACTAAAGATTTACTTGAAAACTATATTAGAGTGCCGATTCAGGCCCCTTTCTCATTAAATTAACACCATCACACTGTCCACCTGGACACTGGGTTTAGTTATTCAGAGCTAATCTGGAAAATCTAATTCCACCTTTAAGCAATTTTTACCCTATTGTGTTCTCAGAACGCTAAATAGGGTTTTCCTTGCAACTTTCCAACTCATCCTACAACAGTAACACCATCACATCTGCACAAAGAAGTTTTTTATAATCTGGGAGGTTCCTGCACCTCTACCTTCAGTTTCAGCCTTACTTTTTAGGAGAAAACAACATCCGGACGGTCATCAGCTGCGTATAAAATGTAGTTAAGAGCTATTAAAAGCACTGCACAGTCACTGGGTTGCCATTCTTTGGAACAGTTTAATCTGGAGCAGCACATCTTGGTGAGAAGAATTATGCACAAACTCAAAAATCTGTTTTGAGATTATTTTTGAGAGTGCTTTGCAACTACTGTAAGTTTGTATTATAAGCCCTGTAAGCCTCCATTGTGCTGTAGATCATTTTGTACCATCTTTAAGCAGCAGATGCACAAATGTGAATCTAAATTCAAACTTTATATGGTTCTATGTCAGTTTTCTGTTGCGTGAGTTTTCCAGCGAGCTATTTTATGCATTCTCACATTTGAATGCAATGCTTCAAGGGTTATTGTTAGAAATGGGTGTCCATGGTGGTTTACTGACTCATTTTAAACACAACTCACCCATGAAAAGAAGAAGCATGTGGCAGGGCTGAGTGACTTACTCCACCTCCTGAATACCATCTGCTAGAAAAAGGGTGCAAAGATTTAATAGAGGAAGATTTATTTCTGTATTTCAACATTTTAGCTGAAGTATAACTGAACACACGCTGCTGATTAAACCGGCGTAAAAAGAGCACAAGTTTCCTTAGAGACCTCTACGTCTAAACTATGTATTTAAATCTGCTGTTGCTGCCTCTCTTGCAGAAACGTAAAATCAGGCCCACAACTGTGCGCGTGATGTCAGCAGTTCTCTCCATCCTTATTGGCTGCTTGATCTTCCTCGCTGTCCCGACGGTCGTGTTTCAGAAAGTGGAGAGGTGGTCATTTCTGGAGTCGCTGTATTTCGTGGTCATCACCCTTACTACTGTTGGATTTGGAGACTTCGTACCAGGTGCTGACATGCATCACCGTGTTTTAGAACATTTTGAAAAACTTTAGGACCAGCGGGCTTGTGTTACTTTCTGGCCACCGTAGTAGTCAAGACTCACTCAACAAATCACAAGCACCAGGTTGCAAAAAAAAAAAAAAAGTAAATTTTTTCATAAATTGTGAGTAATGGCACTGCAGCGCACAAATCCATTAAAAGGTTATTTAGTCACTGAATGTTTTCAGGTTTTATATCCATGTTGCTACATGTGAAAGGTTAGAAGAACCTGCTAAGTAACCATAGCAACCTGCTAGGTCAGGTTGTTATGGTGATTCAAAATGATCTATGGAGCAGAGAGGAATGGAAGGGTGATACTATCAGACTACATTAAAATTATACAGAAAAAATATACATCGGTGGAGGCACGGGTCTGCAACCTGAGACTCCTGCAACAATTTTTTTTAAATCTGTTTTTTTTTTGTATAGAAATTTTTTTACGTTTTCCTTTATTTTAAGACATAAAAATGGAAAAAGCAGAGGTTCTTCAAAATGACAACAAAATGTCTAGTAATTTATCTATTTTCCAAAAGGGCACATATAATTTGTGGCATTAAATGAGTTTTATTTTATTAGACAGGTGAAAATGGTTCTTTGGATTGCAAATGCTGCAGATCTGCCTGCCATGGTTATAATATGTTATAATATGTGTCAAAAATATGACTATTGCTCACACCACCAAAGCCTCTTTATAACACCAGGTCGCTATGGTGATGCCCGCTATTTTCGTTTTAAAAATTAAGTTCAAAGGTGAATCGAACCAGAATCTGGAAATGTTAAGCCTGCGACAAACATTTGCTGTGTGTGAAAATTAAAGAACATACTGCTAACATTTCTTGAACCCTAAATGGCCACATTTATGATGCTTGACAATAAATACTTTCCTAATTGCAGTTGCACCATGCAATTCCTCTCAGTGCTGTTCCCTTTTCCAGGTTATGTAAGAACTACCAACCAGCTGAAGTCATATGTGCTGTCTCAGCCGCACTTCAGAGTAGAAAGAAATGGTGGTTATTTCTTGTGGTTGCCACATAATGTTTTATGTTTCAGGTCTTCAGTGGAAGGCAGGGCATGAAATTACTCTTGTTAACTCAAAATAACATCTCAGAGCTTTGTTGCTGATGGTAAACATTCCTATCAGAGCGTCAATCGCCGAAGAGGCAAGAAGGAGCTTCTAGAACGAACACACTTTTTGTTGGT